ACTACAGGAGGCATTCACATTAAATTTAATTGTAAAGCTAAAAAAATATTTTTTTTTCATCATTTTAATTAATATTAATATTAAATCTTTTTTAGATCCATTTTAATAATATTAAATATGTAAAGTACTGTCGATATTGCACTTACACACTTTTATTGCATTTTAAATTATACTCAAAAGGGAAAATAATAGTTATTTTGAAATGTTTTTCCCCACCCACCCCCCATTTTTCACTCCAGTGAAAATAAATTTAAATAATAAAAAATATCCATATATATATATATATTTATATCTGATTTATTTTTTTTAAAGCTAAATTTTTTTTAAGTATCAAAACAAATAATATATATATATATTACATTAAAGAATTAAAAAGAAAGAAAGAAAGTAAGAAATTTATTAACAGTTTTAAAAAGTAAGTTTATGGTTTCTAAAAAAATTAAATAAGATTTAAATGTGAATTTTATTTCAAGCCGTCAGTCGTTTTAGTTAATAATAATATTAAGTATTTTGATTAATGATTTAAAAGCTACCATATTATTAATTGTTGTAAAAATTTTTCTTCAGATCTCTTTTATACTTTTAATTTTTATTTTCATATTTAATTATTTTTTTCATTGTCAAGCAAGCTTTGAATTGTTTTTAAAAATTACATATATATATATATATAAATGTTTTTTTTTTTTAATGCGGTGGAACTTTGCCTTCTATGAGGTCATCACAAATGGTAGTCAATTCTTGATTTTCTTTAATTTTTTGTTCAAGGGATTCTTGTAATGACATTACTTTCAATTCAGTTTTCCTCAACAAAGCTCTTAATCTTGTCATTTCTTGTTCGTGATTTTGTCTCGACCTTTCAACTTCTATATGTGCATTTTCTAATTGTTTTGATGCATGCACTTGAATGGTTTCCAATTGTTTTTCTTTAATTTTCAATGTGTCTATTTGGTCGCTTATTAAACTCTTTAATTTTGCTTCATTTTTTTTATAATCTTCAATGACTTTCTTACATTTTTCATATTTTTGATGAACATCTGTAAATGCAGCTTCGACATTTGTTAAATGCTGTAATGCTGAGTCTTTTTCTGCAGTCAAATTTTCTATTTTTTCTTTATTTCCCCTTTTTTCTGTTTCAATTTCTGCTGTTAATTTGGAAATTAATTTCTCATATTCTTGCATAACTATACTCAATTGTACATGATTCTGATTTTGTTCATTCACTTTTTTAACCAGAGCCTTTTCCCTATCTTCTGCTTGTTTTAATTGATCTTGAAGTATGCAGGTTTGACCTGTTAATTTTGTCAAATGTGTTTCATAATCGCTTACTTTTTCCTGATTAGTTTTCTCTTGTTTTAATAATAAGTTATGCAGTTTTTCAAGTTCAATTTCTAAAACAGTTTGCTCAATGCCATCTAATTTAAATAAATTTTTCTCATCTCTATCAGAAACAAAATTCCTTTCATTTTTATATGAGTTGACAGATTCCTTAGATGAAGGACTCAAAGATATCAAGCGGTCCAAGACTTCAATGGCTGGATTTGTAGATTGTTGAGAATATATGATATGTTCTTTCCCACCATTTTTATTTACCAAATTAGGTTCTTTAGCATTTTTAGTTTGAAGATTTAGTTCTTCGTTATTTTCTGCAGCCTGAGTATTTTTTAAAAATGTAGGATTTACATCAACAATATCAGGCCCTGCTTCACTTTGATTAACTTGTGAAGAGGTTAATTGTGCATTTTTGTCTTTAGCATACATTTTTTTAACAAATAAATTTTATTTTGTAGATTTTTATTAGATTTCTTGTTCACATTTTTCTCTTATGTTGTACTTTTAGTGGATTTTTATGTATTTTATGAAATTACAAGTGCTTTTGTGTAAACAATACACACAGAATCATATACATAATCCTAAAAAAAACAATAATAATAATAATAATAATTAAATTAAAAATTCATAATTACTTATTTCAGGCAAAAGGTGTATAATTTGTAGTATAATTTGAGTAATAAGAATAAAGGTTTTCTTTCCAATGTTGAATTCTTGAATGCAGAATAGATTATAATAAGAAAGGATTTTTATAAAAATTAATTAAAGTAAATAAAACTAATAATTAATAAACAATAATTTTTGGCAAGATTTTATTTAGTAAATGTATATTTTATATATATGCATATTTATTTGAAAATTCAAATAATAAATTTTCTACTATGCATGCCACATTACAGTTATAAAGGGCGTAGGAGTAAACAAGTGAACAGTAATTACTCATATTCTATAAATTGAGATCATTCACATGTAATATTTGCCTCATAACGACTTGAAAACTGAGATTTTAATATATATTTATAGTATTTAATATTAATATTAATTTTAATTAATATTTTTTTGAAAAATTGACTTGTAACAATTGGCTATTCATGAAACAAGTGGTTTACATATTGAAAGTTTCAAGACAATACAATTCGCATTTTTCATTTTAACAATTTTTTTTAAAAATATTTAATAAAAAATTTTTAAATGAGCCAGTGAAAATAATAGGGTATTTCAAATACAAAAAAGACAAATCAATTACTTTTCCCGAGTAAGTTCATTCAAACAATTATTCTCATTGCACATGCAAGGTAAATATAAGTCAAAACCTATGTAAAGTGTTAAAACAATTTTACCATCTGGTCAATTCTTTTAATTCCACGAACCTGAACATTAATAGATGACCTTTTTTAACGTTACAAAATTATCCATTTTAATCGATAAGGTAACCGGATAAAAAAAAAGCTTCGGAAAATATATATTATTCTAGACTGAATTGTCACTGAAATAAGATTAACAAACTTTGTGTCTGCATAGTTGCCAAACACGTAAAAAAAAGTCTTCTGCTTTACGACCAATACGTTAATTAAATGCTCAATTACAGTGAAGAATTACTTGTTTACCATTGGTTGAAATTTAGAAAATTTTTAATTTTTTAATTTTATTAATGTTAAATATTTTTATATAAATGTGAAATGATTACATGATAATATTAATATTTTTTAACTTTAACTCGAAATGTATGATGAAAATTGCGACGATGGTGATGATACGGACCTTGACCCCAGAATACAGGTTTAATATAAAAATTAATTATTAATAATTATTAATTACTTATATGTTTTATTTCATGCTCTTATTTATGAATGTGTGTATCATTTTATTTATTTGTACAGTTTTAATTATGGACAAAGAGAAGTATTTTTTTGACAAAATTATCATAAGAAAAATTATATACATTATTCAACTCCTTAATCAAATTATTTATTTTTGTTTAGGTAATGCATTAATAATTTTACTTTTTAGTGACAAGCCAATTTTTTCATTATTTTTATAAAAATGTAACAATTAATTCAAATGATAATTGATTTATTACATAATTATAATTATTGGATGATTAAAATATACATCAATTTAAAAAAAAATAAAAAATAAAACTGAAAATGCAAGGCAGTATACCTTTTTTAAACTTTGCCATTTATAACTTTATGTTATTTTTTTTTTCTTTTTTAAAAAAAAAACAAAAGATTTTAAATTACACTTTCAAAAGATAATCAGATGCATAATGAGTCCTGGTTTTCACAAAGAAAAAAAACAGAAAAATTTCAAACAGAATTAGTTTTTGTTTTTGATTTACAACTAAAAGCATTACGCTGATTGCAAAAAAAAATTGATTGTCATTAAATATTAATCAAATCAATTTTCTTTTTTTATTTTAAACATGTTTAATAAATCAATTGTAAGTGTTAACATACATAAACAAAAATGCAGTCATTTTATTTTTTTTTCAAAAAAAAAAAAAGATTTTTAATTTTAAATTTAATAATTGATTACTTACATTTCATGTTATAATTTTTGTTTTATTTAGATTGAGCTTGAAAAATTGAACTCTACAACAACTGAAATAAATTCATTAGAAGTTAAATTAGATGAAGCCAATACAGCTTTTAGAATTTTACTCAATGATTCTATTAAAAATTTAAAAGCTTTGTCTAAAAAACTTGGTGGATGTATAGAAAAAGCAAGACCTTATTATGATGCTTTGGAAACTTTAAGGAAAGCACAAATGGATTGTCAAAGAGCTGCAGTATTGTATCAAAGAGCAAATGAAATTCATCAGGCTGCTAAAGAAACAGTGTGTATAATTTTAAAATAACATTTTTTTAACAAATATGATTGATTTCTAAATCGTAGAGTGATAATAATTTGAATTTGAACCCTGATAAGTAATTTATTGAACATAGTGTTGAACAGTGAAAAGATTTAAACAAAGAATTTTAAAACCATAAATAATTTATCATTGGCTCTAATTTGAACAATTTCAACAGTTGAAAAAGATAATCAGTTTGCTAGGTTTTAAATACTTCTTTGTACACGATATAAAAAAAGAATGGAAAAATTGATGTCAAAATATGATATTGTTTACTTTTTTTTTTCTCATTCTTGTATTTTTTGTAATAATGAATTTTAAAAAATTATCATTTGGTATAACAAAATTACATTGATATTATCGTTTTTGTTAACTTTTTTTTTTTTATCAATTCTTATTTCTTTGTAATCGTTGATTAATATAATAAAATAATTTTGATATTTATTTTTTACTTTTCAGGTTGCTTTAGCCGAGCAACGCTTTTTGTCCAGGCAGCATGAATGGAAGTTTGATAGTGCGTGGCAAGAAATGCTGAATCATGCAACAATAAAGGTTATGGAAGCTGAAACCCAAAAAACAGAAAGTGAAATGGAACATCAGAAAAGAACCTTAATTTTTAATCAAGCGGAAAAACAAGTTCATGATTTTGAATCAAAACTTCGTAAGAGTATAAGCAAATCGAAACCTTATTTTGAAGAGAAAGAACTATGTCAAAAAAATTTAGCTTCTCAAAAAGAAAAAGTTGAGTTCCTACAAAAGCAACTTATATTAGTTAAAAATTCTTACTCTTTGTCTTTGAAAAATTTGGAAAAAATATCTGAAGAAATTCATTCGAAAAGAGGAACTATCGGTCGCGGAATAAGAG